GGCTTCAGCGTGGCATGAAGTCACACTGAAGGCTTCAAGATGACTTCAGTCCCACCACTCCACTGACGAAAGGAGTAAACCTACACGAAGTGGGTAAGCCCGCTCGCGTGGTTGACTTCGTGCCCGTGTCGGCCTTGAGACCGGCAGTTGCCGGACTGGAGAGGACGGCCGTCGTCGACGCGGTTTACCACCCTACTGCAGCCAAAATGTGCATCTTTGGTGTCAGACAGAGTCTGTAAGGTTTGTAATTTGTGATAGAAAAGAAACGAGAGACAAAAGCTCAACGTCTGCTGAGTGATTCACCCATTATCTCTCTCAGTTGGCCAAATGAGGGCTGCTGTCTCACACTTCATTGAAGTCTTCAGCGTGACTTCAGCTTCACTTCAGACGGACTGAAGTTTGACAGGCCCCACTTCACGTCACTTCAGCTTCACTTAACGAGCAACACTAATGGTTCCGCGCCCCAAGTGAAGCTGCTCAATTTGCGGCCGGTGCTTCAGACCTTCGAAGATCTGCCAGATGTTAGCAAAAGGTCCAGATGCTGCCTCCAAGCAACCTCTCTTCGCAAGATAAAAGAAGCGCATCTGCGTGCATTTATTGAGCGCCTTGATGTAATGCGGCCGGTAGCTCACATCGTACCCCGGCAGGGGTACATGTTGCAGGTTCGGGCAGAGTTCCAAGAGAGCGATATGTCTCTTTACCTCGTGAGTAAAGCAGCTGTCCATGAAAAGATCCAAGCGGCGCACAAGGGAAGCGAAGTGTGAGGACTCTTGGAGGGATGGGAGGTTGGTGTTGGATCTATCTCGAACAGGCACCGAGTGGTAGAATATTTCTCGGGAAACCGTATTCCAATGGCAATTAACACAAGCGGAAGAGAGAGTCATAGAAGGTTGAAATCTTGATCGCTTGTTTGGGGCTGGGAGCCCGTGATTCGTGAGTCGGAATGGGGTCGAAGTCCCGCGAACTGGCATGACACAAAATGTCGTGAAGGATGGAGGAAACGAGGTTGTCTGCGAGCGACTTCAGAGTTAACAGAGACACTTTGATATGGCGTCAGATGGGTGAATTTGAGGGACGGGCCCTTGACTCGGAGGGTGTTGAAATATTCCAAGCAAACGGAAGACGAGCGCGTTTGCCCCAGGCGGTCGGTTGCCCGAAGGGCAATCGCGTACCTAGTCTCCCAAAGGCGACCGATTAAATGCCTCCCTTATAAGGCAGGTGGAGGGCAGTCGGCATATAACGGTCTGCCGCGGATCGCGCCCCCTTAGTAGGGGTACGCATATTCAACATCACGTGACTATTCCCACGGCCACCTCGACAGACTCACCGTTTCGTACCCATGCCATCTCCATGTAGCGAGGGAAAAATATATGATAGGGCAGGAGTACCTGCTGGTCCTGATGCAATTTGAGTAGTCTCAGATTTTCTGGCGCTCTCTTTCCGCTGTAGGAGCATTAACTTCGTTCGGTACATGCTGCTGACATCAGCAGCTCCGGCCGTCCCAAAAGGGGAACATGTTGAAGCTCTACCCTTCAGAGCTCATTTTAAAGACACCACGCTCGGCAGCATACCTCAATATGGCTTAAAAACATATATGTATTGCTACTCATTACTTCTACCAGCCCATGGGGGGAATGGATTATTATCAATATGCGCTGGAGCCTATCATGGTACAGAATAGGCTTTATCGGTCGATACGGCACCCAAAACAGACACTAATTGAGCACAGCTTTGGTGTCACTTCAAAATATGTACCTGAAGCTCATTAATTCTTCTAGAGGGTCGCGACGCGCTGGGGAACGCGGTTAATCTGACGATTCCATAACACTAATGAGGTCACGTGATTGGAATATGCGCACCACGCCAAATGCCGCGCGACTAGATGCAGCCTATCGCGTACCGTACAACGAGTACTATCATTGGACCAGTAGTGAATAACTATTCACTTCCCGTCCCTTTTGTGCACTGGGGGCCTTGTGGCTACCCTATACCTTCGGCAATTTTTCTCTGTAATGATAAATGTCTGTAGATGCCATGTTCAAGTTTGTATGTGGAACGCAGGGGTGGTCATCGTTCAGGATTTAAAACTGTCTTGCATCTCCGAGCTCTAAGCGTGACAGAGCGTGACCGCACAGCCCTATTGTGACACGTGTGACATCTTATTCACTTCCCGTCCCCTTACGCCGTACAACCTCTACGCCCTCTGGAAAAATCTGAGAAATTTGCAGAGGGTATAGAATAGTATCTGAACCATTCACACCAATTTTGGGGTACGTGCAATCAGAGGAAGATGACTCAACTAGGGAACAGTTCAAATCATTCACTACTGGTCCAATGATAGATACAGCGACTATATACGAGTTCCGCATAAACATTCACCCGCAACAGCCGCCTACGGCGGCCCTGTCCTATCGCGCGCGAGCTCGCAAGCTTGACCGATTACCCCGAAATTCCAACAGAGGGCGGCAGGATAGTTGAATTTTGGAGGAGTAGTTGCTGAGAATCGGGACAGCATCATTAACGCGAAGCGTGGGAACCCCCAGAGATCCTGCCACAAAGTGTGCCAAACCGAGCCAAATAACAAAGTAACACTAACTGGGGTGCGCTCCCGCCGGTGGCCAAGCGTACATGAAAAGCCAATTCCATAACAACATAGATACCCGTGGAACACCACCACCCTATAACCCACCCTCGAACCTGAGATCACCCTTCCACCGCCCGTCTCCGCACCAATAAAGGCATCCCGGGGGCGTCCTCCCCCTTCACATGCGGCGACTGCGTGAAGCTGAGCGACCACTCGACCGTCTTGCCCGTCGGCGAGAACTCGAACGACTCGATGAGCACCGAGAGGACTACCTCTGCCACGAAGGACGATCTTAGTAAGTATGTGGCAGGCAGACGGACGCGGCACGTACTCAGCTCCAACAACGCGTACCGAAACCCGATGCACGCTCTCGGGCCTGCACCGAAGGACAGCCTGCAAAGTCGGTCACTTATGAGATGCGTACCTGTATAGCCCGAAGAGCCTAGTATACTTACAGCGAACTCCAGACACTCGGCACCTTCACGCCGCCCCGCCTCTCCGCCCGCTCGGGGAGTAACCAGCGGTCGATATTAAACTCCTCCGCGTCTGCGCCCCAGAGTGCCTTGTCGCGGTTGACACCGTGCACGGACATAATCACCGTCGTGCCCTTCAGCACGGGGACGCTAGTCGCTTGTTTCCCGGTGCTCGTTGTGAGGGGCGAGGCGAGCGGGATGGATATGTCTACATGGGAGCTATAGATGTAAAATAATCACAATCAGTAAGGAGTACAACTGTGTGTATACGAGGAGTCAGAGGGACTGACGTCCTGTCGAACCACGTCACCGGGGGGTACCTGCGCATCTTCGTTTCAGTCGCCCCGGCAACAGTCGCGGGGAGGGGGAGCTCACAGTCTCAGCACCTCCTGGCACACGGCGCCGAGACACCGCAGCCCGTGCAGCGTCTCATAGTCCAGATGCCCATGCTCGACGCCCCGGGTCTGCTTGGCATCCGCGATCTCCGCGCGCAGACGTCGCTGGAGGTCCGGGCGCGTGGACAGCACCTGCAGGGTGCGGCACAGGGCACCGGAGGTTGTATCTAGGCCTGCGAAGATGAGGCCTCTGTGGATGCGACAACGTTTTGTTTAGTGTATTCTGTGAAAGGTGAGCGGGGACGGAGCGCGCACCCCATCTGCGCGGCGAGCTCCTCATCCGTGAGCCGCGAGTCCACGTCCGCGTTTTCGTTCGCAGCAACTTACACACAGTCAGCACCCTCCTCGCCTCCTTGACCATGACTTACTAGCCAAGCTGATCACGTCCCTGCCCCCGCCCTCGCTCTCCCCCACCGCCACCTTCTCCCTTACCTTTCGTTTCTTGTCGCGGTACACGCTCCACGCGGTACGGTCCATCACGTCAATGATGCGCCGGAACCTCTGCACTGCCGGCCAGGGGACGAAACGGACGAGAAACCGCCGTAACTGGCTGGGACCGAGGTGGTGGAGGTAGGGGAGGAGGGGGACGATCGGGGTCAGGCTCGTCAGGGTGGGTCTGAGGGAAACGGAAATCTGTTGACAGAAAATGGAGATTGGAAGGAGGGCGAGCGTACAGGAGACCCTTGGCCGCAGTGGTGTACGCATTCTTGGAGCCGTCGAGTGCGCCGAAGCGGTAGCCTGCACCGCCGATGCCGATGAGGTCGAGCGCGGCACGGGACGTCCATTCCAGGATGTTGATCTCGCGCTCGGCGTCTGGTGGAAGTTCGCCCTCCAAGCAATCTCGGAGCTGCATTACAGGGAGGAGGATAGTGAGATCTAAGGATCAAAATGGGCTCTGCGGGTCGTGTGAGGTACCTTGTGAGCGATGGAGAAGAAGACTCCTGTGAGTTCCCGGATGTTGTGCGAGCTGAAAATGGGGTTCAGCATTCTGCGTAGGCGTTTGTGCTGTCGGCCTGCGCGATTCGTTTAGTATAACAACTTATAGTTGCAATATACATGTTTTTTCGCGCACCTTGGGCGCCGATGATGCCAGGGCCGAATATGAGAGTAGCAATGGTATCATATTCCCTTCACGTAGTAGCGAGAGTGAAACGTGAGTGATCAACATACCGCTGGTTTCAATGCTGCTTACTCGGTGTGACGGAAGGTATCAGAATCATTTAGTATCGTCGATATGGCGGCGCAGTCTGAGGTAAAGATCTGCTTCTCCTGTTAATAGCCATAGTAAGATCATACTTTATAACGTACGAATCGATTGCAGCGACATCACGAAGCTCACCCCAAGTAATCCATGCACCTGAAATATACTTCCGTACTCTTTCATGAACTTTTCATGATACTCCATACCCCCGGCACTGAATATCTGTCCCAGATTTCCGGCTAAGAGAGACGCAGGAGGAGGACCTGGAAGGATATTCGACCATATCGTGTGATGTGCACGTCTCTCGATAGCGCGCACGATCAGCCAAGCACTGGACACGAGCACAATCACAGTGAGCACCGAAGCCAGGACCATCGGGCAAACGACTGTGGGGGGAAACGGTGCGAACATCGCTGCTAGGCTAGTCTCGCATTGTAAATGGGGCAAGTCAGGCGCCAAACTTTATTACGGAACGTCCTCGACTGCGAGGAGGGCATACCTCGGGGTGGCAATCACGATCAGAAACGCGGGGTTTGCGGGGAACGCTTGTGAGCACCGGAAATTTAGAAGTGGCGAATTCCGTGGCGAAACGTGGCGAAATGGCGAAGTGGCGACATCCAAGGGCCGTGGCGAAGTGGTGGCGAAGTCGGACGAAATTGAGTCGTTCCTCCTCTGGTACCCACAGCTCTGCGCGTATGCGCATGCATGTGTAAGTTACCTGAGTTCCAGGGTATTCGTGGTACGTACACTTTCACAACAGAGTGTGTATCACTAGAATAAGTTGTATAACAGGTTATGGTACCAATATTGATATATCGATACTCTTTCATGGCTATCTTTCGTCGGTTGGCATATAAGGGGGGTATGGATATAAGGTGTACAAAAGATAGTCGCCTAATAAAGTACAAGCCTACTAGTACGAGTGTGAGGGTCGCCACTGAGTACAAAGAACTCTTCAAGGCTTCGCCACTGGCAGCGGTTCACCAAGTTCGCGTTTACGTTCCGAGTCCAAAGGTTGAGTTGGGCACTCAGCCGACTGAAGCATTTTGAACGATTATACTCAGACATTACTCTTCACATGGTTGTGTTCCCGTTCATTCCTGCTGAACACGCATTTCTCTGGCATCACTCTTGCGTTTACGCTCCGTTCCAGACTCCGTGTGGGGCAGACCTTTCGGAGGCTTATCACTGTCAGGAGGCGCTACTTAGTTTTGCCACGCTTCGCCATTTTCCCGTGCTAGATCGCCACGCTCCGAGCTCGTGGAATCGTACGCGATCGGAGTCGACTTGACCTGCAAGCTCTACACGCTCGCCTTTGTTCACGAATCGCTCATGACGATTAGGACTGTTTGTATTTATTTCACGCCTTTCTAACGACCTTTACGACCGCGACAATCCTGAGATCTTCTAAGCCGGTGCGCGCGGAGGAGGCTTTACTATAACCTGGCCTCTAACTCGTCTATCCAAGCATGGACGACAGCGACACTCCCCCTTCGCCGCTATCCAAACTCCCCCGAATAGACTCTCTAGACCGCCTGCGTCGAGTTGCTACTGGGCGCGCCCGCGAACGCACCTCCAAGGACTATGCAGGCCTCTCCGCCCGCGACCTCGCGCGCATGCTCATCAAGGAGCAGAAACTCAACCAGACACTCGAGGCGTCCAACTCCTCCCTGACCAGCCAGCTCACGCTCGAGTCCGAGCGCGCCGACACCGCCGAGCGCCGCTCCCGCGACCTGCTGCTGAAGGTCAAGGTGCTGAACGAGGAGAAGCTCGTCGCGCAGCGCGAGGCAGCCGCCGCGAAGGAGGAGCTCAGGCTGTACAAGGCGCAGCTGCACAACGCCCAGCAGGAGATCTTCCGCGCGCAGGCCGTCCTCGACGAGCTCGAGCAGGCGCGCGTTTCCGCGGAGGACTCGGCCGCGAAGGCTCGCACGAGGGCGCGGAAGTTGAGGGAAGAAAGCATGGTCGAGCGCGCGCGGCAGGAGGGCCGGATGGAGGGCTACCAGGAGGGCCTGCGTAGTGGGCGCGACGCGGGCTTCGAGGACGGCAGGTTCGTCGGCTACGACGAGGGGCGGGAGCTGTCCCAGCGCGCGTTCGAGAGCGCGCTGGGAGACGCGCTGGAAGAGGAGACCCCCGCCGCGCTCGGGTCCATACGAAACCTCCCAGACCCCGGCCCCGATCCCGAGCGCGAATCCGAGCCCATGCCCATGCCCGCCCCTCCTCCGCAGCCCCGGCCCCCGACGCAGTACTACCGCCGCCCCGGGTCGCCCTCGCGCACGCCCGTCCCCGACCCCCGCCCGCCCATGTCGCCGCGGCACCCCGAGAACCCCATCCCGCCTGACAACTACATCCCCACTGTCTCCCCGCACGACTCGCGCATCCGCCTGCCCCCGCCGCACGAGATGTCGCGCACGCCCGGGACACCCGCGCCACCGCTCCCCCCGGAGCCCGAGGAGATCCGATACATTCCGCCGCCCGCCACGCCCAGCGCGCCTACCTTCGCGCAGACTCGCCACGGCCGTAGCGAGTCTCTCACTCAGAGCCGCCCGCCGCGCGTGCGCCGCCGCTCGTCGCCCGACTCGCAGAGCACGACGATCTCGCAGTTCGGGCTCGTGAACGAGAGCCCGCAGCACACCAACATGCCGGAGCCGGTGGTCATGCCTCAGCCTCAGGCGCGCGAGACGGGCCCCGGATATCTGAGGGAGCGCAAAGATAGCGGGCTGAGCGTTATTCCGGAGGTATTGAGCGGCGCGACGAGTCCTGCGCCCAGTTACATTGTAAGTTGATGGATCACTGCGCGGTACATGTGGCTGATCAAGTCGTGATTGTCTAATGCAGAATCGGACACCGGAGGGGACGCAGTATATGCCGACGCCTATGACCGTCCCCGCGCCCCAGCCGCCGCCCCCGACATCCTCTTTTCAGCCTCCTACGTCGAACTACCAACAATCGCGCAATTCGCAGTCTACCTCCTCGGAAGAGGCAGGTCGACAAAGCAGGGCCAGCAGGCGCAGCAGCACGCGCCGCTCCGCGACCCCCGCGCAAGCCGAGCCCGCGCGCAACTCCGTCTCCTCGGGCAACTCCGTGCCCGACATCACCATCGTCCCTCCCGTACGTCCCCTCCCGCCGTGACTGTGAGTAATCGAGAGTCCGCTCACGCTGTCATGATTGCTTTCCTACAGTCCCGCCCAGCGTCTAACAGGTCTCTTCAGTCACAGGCGCGCAACCTCCTCTCCCCGCGGGACGCCGCCGAATCCCGGCCCCTACCACCCATCGCGGACGACGAGCCGCCCGCTCCGCCGAGCTACGCCAGCGCGCGCCCGATGCCCGGCGCCACGCCCGTCTCCATGGGTCCCATCGTGCTCCCCAACGGCCAGCTGTTCACCCCGACCGAGGTGATCCCGACGCCCGCCGCGGGGAACGCCAGTCTCCCGTCAGGCCCAGGCAACACCGTGCCCTTCCCGAGCGGCTCCGGGTCGGGGATGCCCCCGCCGGCGGTGTACATGATGCACGAGGACCAGGGGCTCGCGGAGGGCGAGAAGCCCGTGATCCCCGAGGGGTACTCGGCCGCAGGCAGGCTGCCGGGCACGCGCCGCGACTCGTCGTCGACGTCGACGACGACGGATACGCAGTCCTCCGGGTTCTCGAACGACACGCTGAGCACGCCGCCACCGCGCGGTAAGAAGGGCAAGGCGGCGAAGAAGAGCCGGGCGAGCACGTCGACATCTGGGTATACTGCGGCGGGCGTGCCGCTGCCGCCGTCGACGATCGGCTCGTCGACGCCGCATACGACGACGAGTTTCTATGCGCAGACGCCCGGCCGGGGATGGGGCGCGAATGCGAATACGAACGCTGGTATGACTCCGAAAGCTGGCAATAGACCTCTTTCTTATGTCACGGACAGGAGCTTGGGGATGAACGGATTCATGAGGACTAATTGAGGGTGGACGCGCCTCAAGCAGTCGCTGTCATTATTCGGACCGGTAGAGAAATCAGGGTAGAGACAAGCCACCCTCCCTAGCTCAAATTTTGACATCTCTTGGGTAACCGCTCTGTAAGTTTATTATATATATTGTAGAACTTACCCTCCCGTTGTACCATACTATTCTTGTCAATTCGTGTTGTGCACCGCTATTCTGTAGTGCTCCTCATGCTCTCAATGCAATGCTCTGGTGATTCTCTGCGGAAATCTGATCTTTGTAGACTTGGTTCAAGTTCAGAATACAGTGGATAACATACATGCGCTGGCTGAAGCCGAAAGAGCGACAATACAGGTAGGCATACAACAACATCACATCATACATACGTCGATACACAGGAAGGACAGAATGTTCGAGGATAAGAATAACAATTGCTGGATGATGACAAGAAAGCACAGTCGAGCGTAGAGTGTGGCGAGCCTCAATCGCCAACCGTAAGAATGTATGTCCATGCGTCCTCCGGACGACCAAGAAGAAACGTTTACACGATGACCCCTCAAGTCCTGCCTTTGAGGGACTGCACGAACGACTTTAAGCCTCCGAATCGTTGCTTGTTCGATGCGTTAGCAGAAGCATATCCGGTCGAGCCCTGCCACCCGTCCGGCGCCGCGAAACCCATCCTCGTGAGTTTATTGGCACTGGCGATGTGACGCGCAGCATGATCTCTCTTATTCCTGAGGCTGCGCGACTGCGCGGTATTGTACGTGTCTTGACATGGCGCAGTCGACACCCGGGATAGAGGCACTCCAACTGTACTCGTAGGCTCCTCGTCGAGACTGAACCGCTCAGGCTCAGGGTCCGGTGTACGAGAGCGCGCCCGCTCATACGAGTACGGATTGACTTGAACTGTGTCGTTATCGAAGTTCGACAGTGCATTCTCTTCAACGGGAGTGGCAGCGGTCTCAACGATCTCGATATCCGCCGGCTTCGCCACATCTGGGTCTTTATGCCCCAGAGGCGAAGAATGGGCTGGGACGTGCACAGACGTCGATCGCGAGAGGCCTTGACGATGGCGAGCATGGGTGGGGCCAAACGAATGCTCCGCGGAGCACTCACCTCCAGCCGTGTGGGGACGCCGAACCTTCTTCACTCTGGGAGGGGTAGGCGAGGACTTCTCCCCCGCATGAGAGGTATATTGCTCAGATCGATCCAGGTTGAGACTGCCTTTCCGCACGGAATCGAGCTCGCCAGTCCGGGCCCGCAACTCAGCCTTGGCTTGCTCCTCCTTGAACTTCCGCTCGATGGCAAGACTCTTGCCGTACGCAGCTAGCTTCGCGCTCAGAGGCGAGATCCCGAGTCCTGAACCGTCTTCCTCGTGAGGATCCATCTCAAGAATCGACTTCTGCGTCTGTCGAACCAGGGCTTCCGCTTGAGCATGAGAGGAAATGGACCGTATATCAATGCCCCCTGGTATATGGGGTCGATGCAGCGCCAGCCCAAATTCCGAGTCATCCAGCAACAGTCCATGGGAGCCATCCCCCGCATACGAGCCAGGCGCATCATATTCTTCGCCAGGACTGACCGTCCCGACCGGTAATGCATGACAGCCTGTAGCAGGAGTGTTAATACCCGCGCTGGCGGTGCCGCTCGTAGAACTCGAACTCGGAGGGTTTGTACTGGTATCAGTAGCCATGCTGCTGACCGAGTCGCCACGCAACCTGTTGTCCCCCTGGCTAGCCGACACACGGAGCCCACCTGGCCTCTGCGGCGCTGAGCCGTCGCTGCCGAAGTCAGTGGTCGGTCGGTCCATGCTGAAGGGGAACTCGGCGTCCGTGGGAGAGGCACTCAAGTTCTCCGGCGACAATATCGGGGAAAGGGCAGACGGACGCCCGCTGGTACTCGTCACAATGTCTGGAAGTATCGCGTTGGCGTCCATCGGAGGGCTTGCGGCGAACCCGAGGCCACCGCGGATGACTTCTCCGTACTCTTCCTCTTCGTCATCTTCATCGACAGCACTACTATTCTGACGAACCGACTCTCCCTCAAGCCTCACGGGAGCGACAGGAGGGGAACTGACACCCGCCGGGCGCTCCCGCTCGTTCGTGTACCTTCGGCCAGCCACCCCACCCGGCCTCAACGACCCAGCACTTGCATGGTCCCTCAAATCCCTCGCCGGACTGGGACTCGCGGCAGCCCGCGCAGGCCGCCTCGGGTTATCCGTGCGCTGGCCCTGCCTCACCACACTCGCACTCGTCGTCGACGAGGAGTCGAACCTCAGCGACCGTCCACTCACCGAGCCGCTCTGCCCGTCCTGCTGGGACTGGTTCGACGGGTTCCGAAGGTGGCCCTTGAGTATACTGGGCCCGGGCCGGCTGGGCGGCGTGCTCGACTCCCTCGTTCTCGAGGCGCCGCTCGCACCCGAGCCCGAGCGCGCCCTGGAATGCGCGGCCGGCACCGAGTAGTCGAGGTCGAACGCGCTCGCGACGTGCGCGGGCATGCGCACCGGGGGTTCGGTTCCGTGTCGGGCCCCGCGCGACCGGCTGGAGGGCTCGACGGGCGAGGGTGCCTTGTCCGAGAACGATCGGGAGGTCGGGAGCGGTGACGTACTGATGGGCGCAATCTGCGCGGTGGAAGGGGGTGAGGAAGATTCGGAGGGCGGGGAGGGGGACTCGGAGGGTTGGCCGTCTCCGTTGGCTTTCTTGAATAGATTGAGGAGGGAGTATTTCGTGCCTAGCTTTCGACGAGGTGGGGGTTCGGCGCCGGTACCCGCTGACCGGGGCCGTCGAGAGCTTGTTCCCGACGACATCGATGCCTTCCGCGAACCAGCGCTGGGAGGCGCGTCGTACAGATGCGGGAGTGATGGTCGGCGCTCGGAGGGGTTGGGGTTGGCGGAGTCAGAGCTGGAGGGCTGCGGGTAGAAGGTGTATTCGCCGAGTGCGGGCGGCGAGCGGGGCTGCGACGTGTCGCGCGACACCATAGTCGCTGTGCTGGACCCCGACTGGGAATGCGAGTGGGAGGTCGTTGCTTTGATCGTGCTCAGCGCGAACTCGAGTGAGCGCTTCATTCGCAGCCGCTTCCGCATGCTAGAGTCCGCGTCCAAGCTCCCTTGCCTATCGCGCGACGTTTCCTCTTCATAATACTCTGGCATAGGGCCCTGCCGCTCCCAGAGGTCGCGGTCCTTATTGATCTTCCAGTTTCTTAGTAAATCTGCTGTCTCAGTGTACCCGTTGTCGCGCGCAAGCATCTCGGGCGTGATGCCGTGTTTATCTGGCCGATCGGGATGCGCGCCATGCTGGAGGAGGGTGATGACGATGTTCGTGTGGCCGTTCGCGGAGGCGAAGTGCAGGGGAGTGGACCCGGACGTGCCGATGATCAACTGCGAGTTGGCACGGTTTTTCTCGTTCGAGTACCGGCGCGGTAGTCTGTGCATTGGCCCGTATTAGCAATTCGAACAGAATTTCAACGCGTACGCGAGCAAAGCAGCTGTCGTCCCAAGCATCATATCCATCTTTCCAAGACAGTACTACATCGCAGCACTCTGGCTCAGCTCCACCGGGGCAGAGACCAACCAGACGTGACGGCACTACAATTGCGCCACGCGAGTCTTTCACCGACAAAGAAATATGCTCACCGAGGTGCATTCACGTCCGCCCCGTTATCTATCAAATACTTCACTACTATCTCGTCGCCAAACGAGCACGCCGCGTGCAGTGGAAGGACTCCGTCAAGCACCGAGTTGACTGGCTGTCCATGGGACAAAGCGTACTTGACGAGGCCGATATTGCCATTCGCTGCCGCCGAATGCAGCCCGAGATGCGGGACTAGAAACCGAGGTAAGCGCGCATTTCAGGCACCAATCGTAGACGCACGTACAATCAGTGGTAACGTTGTACTTTGCTTCCGCCCGCTGGGTTCTAGACGGCCCAGGCATTGTGGGAGGTTATGGAGGGATGAAAAGAGCGCACTACGAACAAAGAGAGTGCCAATATGAGTAGGTCGGAGAGTAAAACGATGCAGGAGCGGAAGGGAACGGCCCCAAGCAGGGAATCGGTGGTCTGACAGTTCCGCGCCAATTGTGTTTTAATTGTTCGTGCCCGATCTCGGATGGGAAACGGGCCTTGTGCCTGTGATAAACAGACGATACTTACAGACCCCAACAGGGAATAAACAAACTGGGCAGCCAGCACGGACGGCTGTGCCGCTGGCGACGACGCTGGCAACAGCAACAAGGCTGCGATGGATGGCGGGAAAGATGGGAGAGGACAGAGGCAGAGCGCCGATTTCGTTCATAATAGCAGGTGTTCGTATCGCTGACTAAGCCGTCCATGGTGTTGGGCGCTTATTGGACAGCCCTGTCTTGCGCTCTTTTCGGCCTTTCGAGCTTCGGTTTGCCACCGTACATTTCCTTCCGCTCTTTCCCGTTCTCCCCTAGGTGATCAGGCGACCAGGAACAGCTTGGTATCGGCCGTATTCACTCGTATCAACGTTGCGGCTAACCGTTATAGGATTCCTATGAATCCAGTTAGCAGCGGGCTCGGCTATCCGCGAGGGAGATCTCTCGAAGGAGTTCGCAATGTAAATAGAACTGCCTGCAGGCTATGCAGTCCATGTGGCGGTACTTCATCGGTGCCCCTCTTAACATTCGACGAACACGCCGTGATCCCTTTCCTTCCATCCGGCTGCCCATCGAACGCTTTCTGTTCCCCGTATTACAAGCATGCCCACGCCGAGCTGACTTATGAATACACAGTGATTGATGCCCAGCACGCCAGAGGGGTGATGCAGCGATATGTCGCTCGCGCTATGATTTCTCAGCCAACTTGGTCAACACATGCCAACACAGCTCACCGGTGCAGACTCACTTTTCGTGTTAGTACACCTCGTGCATTTTCCAAAATGTGGATTCCCCTACTTGCCTTATCTGCGGCCTCCGAAACTTGCCTGCAAGGAGATGACGACGTCTCCATGGCCCGACTCCACACCACAAGTGCATCCTCACTGCGCCCCTGGCAGCAAATCGCGCCCGATACAGGGATTTTCACTAACAATGAGGCGTATTCCGGATTGGCTTGGGACCCGCGTTTGTCTGGCCGTACTGTGTCCTCCGCACATACGCCTATCGCAGTCGTCGAATTCAAGGCTTGGGACTCAATCATCCTCGTCGCCAACTTACGTGTCCTTTTAGCCCTAGTCCTCGTAGGTGACCCGGGATGCGCACCCTCCGGGGTTTCCACGCCCATACCATTGGCAGCGCTCAAGCGTTCTTGAGCAGGGCATGTCAGCCTCGGCGTTTTCTGTGGACAGTTTGGTCAGCGACCGTGATATATCCCGGCCGTCGCTACATAGCAGCACATGCTGACATACCGCCTGCTGGCTTTCCTGGTCGCAGTTTTTATGCGCCCTTCGAACTGTCAGATAGATCCATCCGGCTTGGGTTCTCTCTGGGCTAATAATATCTCAGAGTTCATCAAGTCACAGGCGCGCACTCGAGGGCTTTTTCTGGCTCGGCATACTTACCTCGCTATTAATTTCCCATCTATCACTGACAGGTATCAGTTATCAGATATCTATCTGTCCGCAGCCTCGATATCTGCATCAGGTATCTCGTTCCCTCCAGCTCACATCCTGAGAACAGGAAGTTCCAGCGGCAACTTCGTACGAGTTCGTGTTCGAGCTCAAGCTTGATTGTTTGCTTCTTTTGTTATCTCGATCCTGAATTGGCAAGGGGATTCGCATCTTACGGTTCGTGTTCATTATACTCGATCAGTTATTTCGAGGCATGGACTGCACTTCACGAACATGCGGCAAATGTGCCAATGGATCAGCTACCCCTCGGGAAGTCCCTGCTGTCAATCTCGTTTCTTAGTCGTATCCCGCTACTCGCGAGGAACACTCCCGTCTCTGTATCCGCCTCAGGATAGTTAATCAATGCCTCGACTCCAGGTGCAGACTAATATCTCGGATTTCTCGTGCCTCGAAGCTCAGGGCCTTGTCTCACCTGCGCCAAGCGATCTATACATCCATTCCAATTCGACTCGAACCGAACAAGAAGTCGGAGCCATATACTTTGACTTCGACTTCAAATTCCAGGTCTCCGCCCCCCTCCAGGCCTCGCGGCTGTGGCGCCCCTCCTACCGTTCTGTGCCTGTGTCGTCAAAGATCTAATGTTCGGGGCTCGTTCTAGCTCGTATCGCCGTTCACCGACGTCGAATGCCACCTGCGATCGAGGTCCATTGGGAGGTCGCCACCATATATACTGACGTCCGAATGTCAAAATCAAGGCCTGGTTTGTGTATGTCAAAAGCCGCTTTAGCTTGCTCGCGCGGGACGCGTTTCTCGTCCGACTCCGTCTTCGGAAGTCATCAGTGTGGATTTCGGAGAATTGCTCCCATCACTCCGTGGCGGTAGGACCAAGTCAACCGTTAAGCTGCTCTCGCCAAGACTATAAGACGGTAACGTTAGCCCATGACGGTACGAGTACATCGACTGTGAATCTATTCCGGTTTCAGGCCTGCGAAATATTGCCGCTGTACGTTCGTGGCGCCAGGACAAAGCTGTGATACGCAGGGCGATGCTGTTGATTGCAAGCGCTGATTTCTTGCTTCGCCAGTCACCTTTGGCAAGGAGCGCAGCCGTATGTCCGTGGCGGTAGGATGGGATTGTCCTGCAATGATGGCAGGTCTACTGGGGCAATATTGCCGATGGTAAGTACTCCGGCCATAGGTTTCCTCGGTCTGGGTTCTGCGGCTCTAAGGATTGCACCCGTACGTCTATGGCGTATGATGGAACTGCGTCGCTGCGATGACAGGTTCGTCTGGACGATGCTGCCGGTTGTGAGTACTGCGGCCATTGATTTTCTCCGCTTCGCGAGTTGACGTCACGAAGGACTGCACCCGTACGTCCCGGGTAGCAGGCAGCCGCTGGAGTGGACCGTGGGTTGCCGTCCGCTGGTCTTTTGCGGACTGCGTTATCAAGGCGCGCCGACGAGGGGCTCAGAGCAATGACAGAGCTTCCACGTGTAGTTTCCTTCTGTGCTGATAAGGCAAAGCGGTGGTTTCTCCGCTCCTCGCTTCTCCGTCCCTTTCTCTGATTCCAATACGTCGGCTTATACTGATATACCTATTGCTGGCAGAATGCATTGCATGCTCACTACATGTCTGCGGGAGTTCCAGTGCCGAGGGCAGCAGGGAGGGGAGATCGAACATCTGCCTCGGGTCGGGTCTCCTGCACAAAGGAGGGGTACCGGTAGGCCACTACGGATTGGGTCGAAGTATCCCGTCACGAGATAGCGGAAGATCGCAAGGAGGATGCCTGGGCAGAGGATACTTGGGACCGTCGTGTCCCGCGCCCTTTCGATGACCAGATGCGATCTCGCGCTTTCACGAGCAGACATGCCCACTACGTTGTCGCCGCTTGCAAGGATGCTCCAGCTACTGGATACGTGCAGCCAGCAAGGACGGAGTGACGTTCCTGATGTTAGCAGCATACTCGGCGCAGCTAACACGAGCCAATGTGCGCAACACGCGATAACGTAGGCCCACTCGTATACCGGGGCTTTTACCCTGCGAAGAAGAGGAAGCGGCGTGAAGATCTGCGTCTGTCTGGTCATACAAGCCGATTCGCCCCTGGGCAATATCAATGGACAAAACGCGGTTGTTTCGTCAGGGGTGCCTCGAGGGTGCTACGCTGGAGCGGAAGGTACAGGCGAAGTGTCTTCGGGGGCAGGAGAACGAGGGGACGTCCCTCCTACGCTCTCCACGCGCGGGCAGCTGTTGACGGCCGTGTCCCCTCGCCGGGAAGATCGAGCAGCGCGGACGCACGTCCGGACGAAGCCCCTCGACCACGAAAACAAATTGACCGCCAACGACAGAGGCGACAGACACCGCGGCGGCGTCGAAATTCCTGGTGAGCCTTGGGATCTGCAATTTCCCTGTGCTCGGACTCGGCTTACACGGTGGACTCGGACGCTGGGACAACACGCACAAGCAGGCGGAGCGTCCGCAGCAGAACGTCCCCATGGTACGCGCAACGTTAAACGTGCTCGGTTGGGTGTATATCCCGGACTCAGGATTGCTCGTCTATGAACTGGATATTGAGGAGGCGTGTATCTAGCCTATCCCGGACTGGGGTAACGTGTCTGGGTGTCTAGGCATTCACGTATCGACAGACATGTGTCTGACTTCTGCAGCCCCGAGGTGCGGTGCACGGCTTTCCGATGTGCACGGCGACGTCGAGCAGGGTCTTGAGAAGATGGGTTGGGATGGGGACCCGAGGGTGGGCGGGAACATGGCGATTTGAGGTCGAAGACCCGTTCGTATGCTGGGGGCATGGCTCTGTTCCGGAGGTGTGTCCCTCCGGCCCTCGGTGTCGTACTACCGACCGTGCATCGTGTGCGCCCAACCCGGGCGTTTGGGCATCAACTTATACTAGCGCGCATATATACTATACAATAAGGACTCGCGGACTATCAGTACTTACTACGCGCGTGAATTACAGCACGTCCCGTGCTTTCAGGTCCGACAGGGAGGCGAAGCTCTTGAGGAAGAGCGGCTTGAGCTTCTCGAGGCTCTTCGTGCGCCGCTTGGGCGCGCGCGCGCTAGCGCTCGAAGCTGAGACGGTCTTGGCGCGGGCGCGGTGTCCTCGCGGGGGAAGAGTGGGAGGGAGAGGAAGAGGAGGTAGGGGGGGAACGGTGGGAGACGAAAAGGTACGCGGTCTGCGATGGACGAGCATCTCGGCTGGCTTGACCGGAGGGAGTGGTACGCGATGCGTGCCCGCGCTTGCAATAGCCGCGCTTGCCGGTGGGTATATGCGCTGTGTCTGCGCGTCTATACGCGCGGAATTCGTACTGCCCGAGGAGAGCGAGGAGGGGAGGTCAGGGAGGGGTTTGTGCAGCGGCTCTTCGTCGAGGGAGGGCAGCCGCGGGGTGTAGTGCTGCAGCGGGCTGTGGGATACCGACTTCGAGGGACGGTGCGACGGCACGGCGGGCGGGTCCGCTGGCGCGAGGGGATTCCGCGAGAGTCCTCCCTGGCAAGGGAGAGAAGACAAGGAGCGCGAAGCGTGATGCAGAGAGCGTGAAGCGGGGACTGTTTGCGAGAACGGTGACGAGCGGTGGTGCTGGGGAATGGGGATATGGTCCGGAGGCTTTGGGAAAGCGGGAAAGCGCATGCGGCGGGGTTTTGGTTTCAGGAATTTGCGCGTGCGTGGGGAGATTACTGGGGTATTATCTAAACGTCCAGGAGGGGTGGATGACGGGAGACAGTGCGAGATGATTACGGATAGCAAGCTCTAGGAATCCAGGGCGATCGCGCAGGTCAGAGGGAGCGTTGGACGTGGCGCGTTGGTGGGCGTGACTCACCAAGAGGAACCCGGAGACGCCGATGACAATGGAGAGACAGCGGATGGCGGACGTTCTTGCTCGTGAAGACACCCCGGAGGACATTGCTGCGAACAACGACACACCAAACGAAAAAAGCGGGGTTTGAGGGAGAGGAAAAAGCAAGGGAGCATAAGCGCTTGCCGTGAGCTGTCAGTGTCAGTCGACGATCATCGCCCTGCAGGATTCAGAAGGTACGCGGCCGTATTCGGCGATAGAGTAGACCCCTTCATTCGCGTAACATTCAAGAGCCCGCTCGTCCTCGGACATATGTACAACAACTGCGAAGGCGTTCATGGGCGTTCGAAGCTGGCATGAACTGGAAGACGCGTCGAAATCAAAGAGACGCGTCTGCAGTAATGGAACGCGGTTTACGTAAGGAACGCGTCCGTGGCGTCTCTTGGACAGCCGTGAGAGCAGTGACATCACCTTCGATCAGCTGGACTCGAGGCGAACACACGTCATACGCGTTCCCCAGTGTCGTCATGCGCGCCCCCCACGCCCAACAAAAGGCGCATGCCCGCCCGCAGGTTGCACACCCTACAACTCCTTCCTAAAACCGCAGTAACCCAGCTAGCAATATTCCAACCATGCAAGCAACCGTGCTGCGCTCGCAAGTCCTCCGCGCAGCCGCCAGACCGACCGCAGCCCGCGCCGTCCCCGTACGTCCCCCGCTCTCCCTTCTCCATCGCCAGCGTACTCACCTCACCCAGCGCGCCCGCCGCACCTACGCTGCCGGCCCAGGCGGCGAAGCCGCGCCCCAGCCCGGCGCGCCCAAGGGCGGCAGCAACACCCCGCTGCTCGTGGGCCTGCTCGCCGTCGGCGCGGGCGGCGCGTACTACTACTACTACGCGACGGCGGGCGAGACCGCCGGGGCGCGGCGCAAGGCGGACCAGGAGGCGCTCAAGGGGCACGTGAACGGCGCGGTCGACGCGGGCAAGGCGACGGCGCAGGACGCGCTGCAGGAGGGGCAGCAGAAGTACGGCGAGCTGAAGGTGCGTGTCGCGCTGGTGGGCTGGTGGGCTGTGGGCTGATAATGGCGGCAGGGAACTGGCGCGGATAAGCTGCAGGCCGAGCGCGCGCGGGCGGAGCGCGCGGCGGCGGACGCCGAGGCGAAGCTGGAGCAGTACAAGGCGCAGGCGAAGGGCGCGTACAGCTCGACCGTCGCGTCCGCGCAGGAAAAGTACGACCACGCGCGCGCGAGCGCGTCGAGCACGCTCTCGGACGCGGAGCGCAAGCTCGAGGAGGCGAAGGCGGCGACGGAGAAGCAGGCGAGCAGCTGGTGGAGCTGGCTCACGTTTGGCCTGTTTGGCGGGAACCAGGCGAGCGGGAAGGAGGAGGGCGCGGATAAGGTGAAGCAGGAGAGCGCGAGCTTGAGCGAGACGCAGAGGAAGGTGTAGGTGGAGTGGACAAACGCCGGTGGCGCTCAATTCTTTTGTATTTTCATGGTGTATGTAATCTAATGACAAGGATGTACCACCACAACTTGGTCTATTGAACCTGCTACTTCGACTCGTCGCCTCGCCCTGTCCATACAGGCCAGAACAAACGTCGAGTCGTCCATGCAATTGCAAGGGCTCCCGGCGCTGAATTGATCCGAGCCGGATCCCTGTACGCCCATCTCTCAGCTCTCAGCCACATTTTGGACTCGTATGTTGCGATACTCATCCTGTTGTCTGAATTCATGACCATGGGACTCTCGCCGCTGATTTGCACTTGTGCTAGTAGGCATCCAGGAGCAGAATCGGAAGAGACAATGGAGAAGTGTCAGAACTCAAAGGAGTTGCAAAGTCGACTCGGACATTACTGCCATCAAGCAGATGGATTGATGTCGAGGCAGCCAGACCATATGCCAACGTTAACGTCCCGCGGAAGGTCTCATACTGCTCGTGGTCCTGTTTATGGCACGGGAAGCTGTTTATGCACGCCGTATCGTCGTCGCTCGCGGTCAATTTCCGAGCTCGCTGCCGCGAACCCCGAGTTCTCTGAAGTTTGTGATATCCGTGATAATCTCTAGGCTCTGTTGTACGTGTCCGCGTGCACGAGATGCCTCAATCTCGTTACCCCGGCCTTAACGCTTGCCTCGCAAGATGTGGTTCACGAACGTTGCTCCCCGAACTTGAGTGCGTGGGTCTTGACAAGTACATGATATCCGTTCGGGGTTCTCTCCCTCGTCGCATTGCTCTGGCTATCCATGTTTTACTCGGTATAAGACCTCCCGGACAGGGAGGGAGACACCCCAGCCTCCCGGCTCATCACCTGTCTTCTTCCGAACTGGGCGGCATGCTTACCGCCGCCCTCGCCGTCGCTGCTCTCGCGACCCCGCTGGAGAAACGCGCTGTGGACTACTAGTACGACGAGCCGACCGGATCTGTGCTCGATAAAGGGGCAACACGGGCCTCGGTGAGCCCCTCAATGTGCGCGTGTCCTTCAGTTCTCGACGGGCCCGATGGTCTGTGTTGCGCTGGGGATCATCTCTCGCCGTCCTGACCGATAATGGGATTGTGAACTATGCACGATCAATCGGCTTGGAAGTGACAAGTTACGTATCTACATCATCGCTGAAGGGAAGCTGAATCATGACCTCCTCCAGTGCGCAGCTCGGAAGGGCGCTTTGGAATCCACCTGGGCGACGGGAACGGCTGGGTGGACCAGACGGTCGGGCTCCGCCAGGACTACGGCAGCGTTAGTGCTGTCGTCAAGCCTCCGGTCTCAATAAATCCAGACGGGTTGCGATATTCCGCTGCGTCTGTTAACCTCTCACCTATCTGATCTTGACCAAGAACCGCCTCGCGCAGAACGCGGTGGGCCAGATGAGCCTCAAAGACGTGTCATACAGCACCGTGGCCCGTAATATTACAGGGCGTCTCGCTCCACGCGCCAATGGGTGAACCACAGTACGTGGTCCGTTCCGCTGCAGTCTGCAGATATCTCGATGGATGGTATTGTCACTCTGTTGACTGAGACTATCCCATAAAACTCGCTCTGCTGGTCGTCTGCTGGTTTTACGCAGATCAGACGGCTGAGGATGATGCAGGAGGATGATTGTATTTATTAATTTCATGTATTATCACACGGTGCATGTTGGGCGTGTCGTCCCTCTTCCATCTCTTCAAATCAACGAGTGCTACACTACAAGGTGATACACAGAGAAGTAAAGAAGGACAGAACGCGTGAAACGCTTAGGTAGTGGACTAGGCACCGTCTCCGGAACGTGACGAATCGGCCTTCTCCTTCTGAGCAGCCAGGCGAACCTGTTCGGCATTCCAGACCAACCTTGGATCATCGTCACGACACATAGCCTCCAGCCGCTCTTTGACATCCGCGAGCTTCTCATTCAGCGTTCGCGCATGTACCTCGGCTAGCATGCAGAGGAATGTGGAGAAATGGAAGGCACCCAGGGGAGTGGAGATGTCGAACACATGCGCGTCCGCCTCCGCGACGTACGTGAATTCCTGCAGCGCAGAGGGTATTAGCCACGGACCTCAGGGCCTGCATATAGCAAATGCAACATACCACAGAGACGTTATCCTTGTAGCTACTCTTTGAACCTCCGCGTGATGTATCCGCGTCGGTGGTGTACGTACAGGAGACGGCGCCGAGTGTCCCGTCGGTAACAAGCCCGAATACAGGGAAATCGTAAATCCCGAGGTTCGCGAGGAATTTGGATGCTGCCACGGTATACATGCGTGATTGCTTCACACCTTCGGCAGTGTGCAGGCCCTTGTCATCTGTTTTCTTGTACTCGACGAGAAGAATAGGGGCAAAGAGGCTTCGTGAATCCCGCTTGACTCTATTACTCTTCTGGGGCTCATTGCTCAAGTCATCTTCCTCCTCATCGAGTTCGGAACCTATGTCCATCGCGTCGAGGTCCGCTTCGAGTTCGTCCATGCTGTAAGGCGACGGGGTTTCGGGCTCCCTGGAGGCAGGAGATGGCTGGCTAGGTGCCGGACCATCAGTCGCTGGTTGCTTGGGGGCCGATTGAGCATTCGAAGAGGGTGGCAGCAAAAACTTTGTCTGATTTCGCCCGCTCCCAAAGATACTTGAGTCTTTTATATCGCGCACAGGCGGGGCGAGTGTGCTAGGCGTACTTGAGTGGGTGACCTTTGAACTACCTGTCTGTCCATCCACCAAAGGCGGATCAGTCTGGACGACCAAGCGGTGGCCTTTACGGAGCTTCCCCTTCTTCGGGGGGTAGAAGTCTGGACATATGAGACCACATGTGTTGTCGCATCTTCCGCGGATGGGTTCTTCTAGACTTCGCCGAATACTTGCGTCACGGGTCATGTCATCCCAACTGCTGTATAGCGCAGATCTGCGACCATCATAACTTCTCCAGTGCTTGCGACGGAGGTCGTCATCGGCGTTGGCGTGCAAGGCCTCTAGGAACGGGCTAGCGAGGTGCAGTAACTGGTCACGAATCATAGACTTGAATTCCACGCCAAAATTGTTCTCAGCAAAGGTGTTCTTGGGAAAACGCAGAAGTCGTTCAGGCCTATATCCACCATGATAAGAGTTCACTCAACATTATATATCTGGTGAAATCGGTAAACACGCACAGCGGGAAAACACCATCAGATGGTCGATTCATGAAAGCTTTCACAAGACGATCCCAATCTGATCGCGCCGCAATTTCATAGGTGATTGGAGCCACTGAGGCGTTCTTTTCACTTGCGCGCAGAAATCGACAAACGTCCAGGATTGTCGAGAGCTCAGATGAGAGCTTGTTATACATCTCTTCCGAAGTGATGCCCAGGGCCGGAGGCGCCAGGTTAGCTGCAACGTGCGCCTGTCTGGCTTGAACGGCGCGGAAAAGCTCCTCTTTGAGATCTTCAACGAAAGGATTTACGGGGGGCATGTTACCCTGTTTCAATCATCAGTTATAGTGTGTTTAACAATCTCGGGGGTAACCATACAAGGATATCCCATTGAGTGGGCCATCGAAATGCAGCGCAGTCTTCGTACCGCTCAACCGCATCATTCATAGTCGCGCTAAAGAGGCCCGATAATATAGCTGATCTGTCGGCCATCCATAGTGATACGTGTGCATCACAATATGTGCCCCATTCTTCTTTGCGACCCCTTGCAAAACTGAGTGCATTTCATTGCGTTCATGTCAGAGCGTTAAATGATCAACTCGAATACAACTTCACAAACCTTGAGCAGGTACGGCGCCGTGATTGATCCTTAGCCTGTAACCCGGGGCCTGTCGAGTCATCTTGCGGAGGTTGCCCCTCCTTTATCGAGGACAGCCTGTAATGCAAGGAGTAAAAATTCAGGGGACACCATCTAGTGGAAGGCGTATTTACGAGGGCCTGACGTGATCTATGAGAATATGAAAACGTATGTGCAAGCCAGGTACGTACCCTTTTGAACCGGCGCTCTTCTTCGTCATTGTCTGCTCAGCAGTGAGACAGTGGCTGAGGAGGAGGAAAACAAGTTGAGATACAGTGCGAAGGCGGAGTACCGAAAGTGCTCACTCACTCGTCCGAAGACTGCAGGGCCTCCGCCACGTTATCAGCCCATCGCGTTACTCCCGCTATGAAAGCTGCAGGGTCACTACTGTTTTCCTGTTCCAGACTACAATCGGAACGCCAGGCAAGAAGATCGAATTCCGGAGCTTCTAATTTGTCCGACACGTGATGCTGCGGGTATTCAGTAATGTCCGGCAAAGACATGAGGAATGACGCCAGGCGTAAAGCACCAGTAGGATCGCAGAGATTGAAGAGAGTGAGCGACGGAGGGAGCCCACAGGGATCTTCGAACGCAACGTGTACGGGAGGCTGAGCAATGATCAGAATGGGTCTGCAACCATGACTCTATATATATCAACAACGTACCAGGGATCCATCCAGCGTATCATAGTCCTCTAGCCAAGCAATAGCAAGTTGAACTGTAGGAGCGCCATGATCGAACGTTAGCCCGATGAGGGGTCCTTTGATACCGCAAGCGGATCGCTGGTAGACAGCACTCGCGAGAAGATCGAAGATACGATTCCCATCTGACATGCACAAAAAAGGCAAAAGAACCTTATCCGATGGCGAAGCGGATGCAAGCAGGTGCTTGTTCAAAGCAGGGTCGAAGTTCGCCGTGCTGCTATCATCTTCGGATTCCTCAGAGTCTCCAGGAACCGAGTATCTCAACATCCTATCAGGAAAGTCGAGTTGCCAAGGCTCCCACCTCCGCGAAACAGAGCTGTCATCCTCAGAGGAACGAGAGTGCAAGTCTTCGGAAGAAGGTGAGGGTACGGACGGCTCAGAGCGCCCTCGTGGAGAGTCCGAGATTGTCCCGTCTCCAGGGCTAGACATGGCTGGGTGGTGTAACTCTGGCGACCCGGCAGTTCGTTGCGTGTCATCAGCGCCAAGAGAGTCTACGGGTTGGTGACACATAATGAGAGGAGCAGTAGCAGTTTTGCATGCAAATATTGCCGGAATTTCGGAGAACTTTGGGTTTTTGGGCAGCACATATACCGCCTCCTGGCTGGAACATATGAGAAACAGACATGCAAAATAAAGCAACCCCTGCTGCTTACAGGGGTATCGCATCTGAAATTGCAAGGAGTGTAATATTGCGGGTGAAGTTGGTCAGGATGGATGCCTTCGACACCGGGTCGCCTGTCACGTTGGCTTCCGGCAACATCAAAGAGCGAAGAAGTGCGACGGTGCGCAAAGTGATGTCAAAGCAGAGTTCAAGCGTTCCCTCCGTCTGGGACTGCCCTTTTGCCAATGTCGCAGCATCGGGTAGTGACACGATTGGTCTCTGAGCCTTCAGCTCCGCAGCAAGGGATCTGCAATGTTGTGAGACGAAAGGATGTGGGCCCTACAACAGAGGTTAGCTCATGATTAGCTTCAGTTGAGCGCAATAACAGACATTGTAGACCCATTCAGGAAGCGGTGTCTGAAGCGCATTCACCAAGGGCCTTGTTTCCCTCGGCCATGAAGTGCTATAATTGACCGCGTGGAGAATAACGTTCTCCGACTCGTGCAGGCATCCATCCATGCCTCTGCGTAGTGTGCGCTCGGACGTGCAGCAAACTATGAGTGTTACAGATGTGCGCACAGCGTGTTGACGGCGTGCTAGTGGCACGGATCCGGGCATGAACTCAGTGTGACTGTGACAGATCGCGTCTCGAGCAATGCACGTGATACTTCCGGTTGCCACAACTTGAACTTGGGCGCCTCACGTCTCCTCAAAACGTCGCGAGTTACGCTGGTAATGCAATCTGCCTTGGGAGTGGACTTTCATAAACAGCAGGATTCACTGGGACACTCAGTGTAGGCACGGGTTGGCGGGTGAGCCGGAGTACAGTAAACGATGAGCCCCGCAACTTTACTCTCGAAGATATGTATTGTGCACCGAGGGTGCTGTGCTAGAATGTATCGGTACACTCACAATTCACGATCAACCGGATTGGAAGTCGCATGGGTACCTATATTGTTGTTTTTACTTTCAGTGAAGCGTGTTCACCTCTTTGCTGGGCAGTTCTTTCGGATACACCAGGACGGGAACGGCTGCCAGTGGGTGATCCAGACGCCAGTGCTGGTTTTGGGACCTGCTTCACGTTCGACAGTGATCGGCGGGAACCATTCCCGGTATGCTGTTTCATTCTCCCTGTTTGACGGCGTCTTCATTGCGCGCATCTTCTCCGCAGAGACTTGGCCTCAGGCGGACAGCGGGCATTGTTCCTTGAGTGAGTGTTGCATCCGTCCGCATTTCTTCGCTCCGAATCTGGGACTCGCGTCCCAGGCCTAGGATGAGGCGAGCGATTAGCAAGTGTATTGTAGCCGCCTTCGGCAAGGCGGCATTGTTGCGAGCTGTTCACCAAGCACCACACCATGGTACAACATCGGCAGGTACGTACTTAACCGATGTGAACTCAGGGATTCCTCTGTTCACCTCTCGCTTGTCGCCTGGTGCAGAATGTGGTTTGACGACGTGTCATATAGCACCGTAGCCCGGAGTTTCATGATATCACCGGCCCGCTCTCTCCAGGCGCTAATGGTGTAAACCACAGTATGTCTCTGCCCTCGTCCGAGTTGTGAGTCTGTCATAGCTGGCATTGTCGCTTTGTTGACCGTCACCATCCTATAAGGTGGATGAGAGGATCCGTGTGCCAGCTTGCGCAGAACAGAGGTCGCGCATACATCTCCCGGCATGATGCAGTATTATTGTTTTTATTTCATTTTATTCGTTTCTGGTATTATCACGCGGTCTAGGCCGGGCTAATCGTCCCCCTTCTTCTTTTCTCTTCACGCCCGACGTGAGGTGAAATGTCGAGGATTGGGTTGGGACTGCTGAGTGCTACAAAGGCTAGCATGATTGGGACGACCGCGCGTGTCAGCCGTCAGCCTTAATCTAGGAAGCTTTGCCCCAGACCCTTCGTAATCGGTGTTCCAGGCGATCTGGCGTCTCTCTGGCATGCCTTCGCTCTTAGCGATACGTCAAAGGAACCTTTTGTGGACTCTTATGGGGGTGCTATTCTTGTCCGTCCTCATTGTTTCAACGTGGACGGCCCATATACTGGGCTGTATACGCACGTCTCGTCTCCATCCCCTCCCACCACTCGCGATGTCTGCTCCTCTCATATGGCCGACGAAAAGATTTTTCTATCCCATCGGAAACACTCCCGCCGTCTGTCTCACGCAGGACCTCCCGCCTGGGCAGTCGGCTGATGTGCTTCTCCTTGGGTGTGGAGACGTGCGGAACGTTCTCTACACTGTGTACGCGGATCTACCCTCTCCAGCGGGTGAGTAGTCAGTCAGATCAGGTAGCCGTAGCGCGAGCTGCTCAGATTTTATGACTTAGGTCCCCGCAAGCTCGATTTCACCTGTTGCGACTATCAGCCGGCGCTACTAGGTCTGTTGTATTCCGCTAATCTATTGGGCCCTCCGTGACGCAGCTCCGACAGCGCGCAATATTTTGCTTTATGTTCTTGTCGTCGAGAACCAACCTATCGACAAGATCTGGAACATCTATTATCATTTCTTTGTTGACAAGGCGTCCTTGGCGGTCCTTGTCCGTTACTGTGACACCCTTCTTGCTTGCTCACAAACCGTCGAGGAATGGCATCAGAGCAAGTTTGGATCTTGGCTTAGAGTCCTAGACCGCAATACGCTGGCAGAGATTCGGCAGTGTTGGCAGTCGTACGCGAGCCTTCATCCGATTGACCCAGGAAAGAATGCAAGGCTCAGGAAGGAATTCAAGGAGGTCTCGGCAAAGAACGGTAGCCGTTCATGCGTGGGCGCTGCACGTTCGGCAGGGCCTCTGATGGCTGCCGCACTCACAGTGATGTCTGACCTTTTCGACCGGTTCTGGAAGTCGGGCACGACCTTCCTCAGCGAAAGAGAAATTCGAACGTCCGCCATGATCAATCCCACTTTCGTCTATGCTCTTCATGGCGAGAGGTTTGAACCTCATTATGGCACGTTCCCCCTCCAGTCCTTCCACCTTGCCGGGGCTTTTGTTCCCGATGGGCGGATTTCAGCGCCCATCGGATCGAAGGAGAGGGTTGTTCAAGTAGCGAGAGAGCAGTTCTCGGCGTGGTGCCACCGCTTTCGGGAGATTGCGAACCTTGGAGGGTCCCCTTCGGTGGTTGTTCGATTCTACGCCGGGGACGCTCTGGCTTTTTGCAATGGCCTATCGCACTGTGCAAGGACGCGGGATGCTCACAGTCCGATATACTCTGGCCCCTGGAGGAGCCGTCCCATTGTCCTCGATCAGCTCATCTGTACTGGAGCTCCCACATCTTTTGACACGATCGATACCTCGAACTTGACTGACCACATCGGATTATTGAATATTCTGCTCGCTGCCGAACCTCTCGTCAACGAGAGCAGTTCCGTTCTGTACACGGAGACACTGCTGCCGCTGGGAACAAACGCCGCGCGCTCGTTTATCGACAGGATCTGCGGAGACCCTCAGGTCATGGGAGTCCTCATTGGCCTGGTCCCTCGACCTTTGCTCACAGGATTCCAGACCAATTCTTATAGTCACGAACTTATGCTCCAAGAATTAGTCAGTGACATTGGACGAAGTCAGTTTCATGAACGCGTCTCTTGGGTACGGCCTGCTGATGGTGACAACGTGCGAGGTGACGAACCATTACTTCTACGTGATGCGTCCGACCCTGCCTCACTGGGCGAGCTCTTCTTCGATATCTACGACAAAATACTAGATTTCGAGCGAATGGCGCATCTGACGCGCATTGCGATGTCGTCGCAGAATGCTCTTGCTGAGATGCAGAGTATGAGTGTAGTACACTATACTCGCGGGACGGTTGCGCAGCTGCTGAAGCACATCCGTAAGCGAGTTCGATTTTCGGACATCAATTGGAATCAAGCTGTCGAGTTCTTCACGACGATGGCGAAGAATGATAGGCGCCGTATGGTGGGGATGAACTTTATCCAGGAGCTGTACCTCCAGCTCCATATGCACGGCCTGTATACCATGGCATTCCTTGGATACGATTGGAGGAAGGTCCCTGAAATTCGACACCCGCCACCGCCGAAAATCTTCCGCTCGTGGTCGCATGTTCCGCCAGTGGTCTGCCTCGCATTGAGCGTTCCTCGCTCAGCGTTGCACCCATTGCTCGATAGTACCCTGCAAGGCTCGCCGATATTACAAATGCAGCTGACCACGCCAGAAGGTGATTGCAATACATTTGCTGCCCTCCACGGTATGCCCGGAAAGATAGTACCTGCCACAGAATACCCTGTGCTCCAGGACAGGGAGGCGTCATTTCAGGACGCCACATCATTCGTTTTCTGCTGTTGGGTGCCTACATGGCTGCTCACGCTTCCCCGTACGAGAGTCAATCTCGTCATCCAGTCTACGCCACAGGCGATGATGGCGCTTCTACCACGATTGGGAATGATGCTATCCTTGTACGCTGTGCCACTGACAGATGCGGATAGTGTACAAGTTCTACGTTCGCCTCCAGGCATCCCATCCGATTTCGAACTTCGTGATAATATCCGCCCTGGTTCAGTCTCCTTGAGTAATGCTGTTACTGATGTCTGTATTTTGGGCAAGCAGATTCGTTCGTTCAGCAGACGTCTCGATAACATGAGTCAAGACGCCAAGGCAGTTCTGTCACAACGCGCGGCCGTGTCTTGCGAGCAAGTTGGGCCGTGTACTATCGAGGTATCGATTGGTCGGTTCAAGCATACGGCTGCCTTCCCATTCCCTGTCGTAGGAACGCGGTGCAAGCTAAGGATAGCCCGAACTTCAGGTTACGTGGAGGTAAGCCTCCCTTGTCTCGTCATGGTGCATTTGTATAAATCCTCAAATGGGTAGGTTACCGTCCCGCCGTCTGGTCCCTTCCCCCCCGGCGGGTATCACCTAAATCCCTTTCCTGTCCGCTCTGGACGGTCACCCGCACCATGGGGCTTGCATGCTATCAACCTCGATGTTATGCCCACAATCGATGTCAGCGATGCCAAGCGACACCTTCAGTGGCTGAACCCGCACGTCGCCCTCCAAATGTCCGACCGCGAGCGCGCCCTGCGCGACAGCGATTCGGGCGCGTCGGACGCGCTCATGAACATCAAGGACAGCATACACGTGCTCTTTATGCGTTTCACCGGTCTGCAGGGCGGCCAGGCCATCCGCGTATATGGGCTCACAGATCCCGACAGGCTCGGCATGCACACCATCGTTTTCGTGAATAAGCTGCGCCTCGACCTCCCCGCGTTCACCGTTGTTCTGGACGCCGCGGTTATACCACTCGATCGAGATCTCATGCCGCGCCTCAAGACTGGCTTGCAGGCGCTCACCAACCGAGGTGGCCTCTGTAATGTCGTTACGCGGGGAGTTGAGGCGGAGCTTTGGAGGAAGTATCTTCCGGCTGCGGTCGAGCGCTGTAGGACGTGGGGCCACAAGGAGAGTTGCGAGTACAAGGATACGCGCCCTGGGGAAACGAGCATCCCGTTATCGACGCAGGTCGATCAGCCTTGCATTTGTTCGTGCGGGCGCGGAGTTGATCTCGAATCATTCAAAGCGATGGATGCAATGCCCAGCTGGAGGTACCTCCGGCCGTATGCGACCCGTGCTGCTATCGGCCCGCTTTTCGCTGTATCGTATGTCGAGCCGGTAGCCTCGAGGCTCAGCGGACTCGTGAAGAAGATGCAGGAGGGTCTCGTCGGCCCTGGTGCGACAGCGTCTCCGGTCTCTGATACCAGGGAGAAATGCAAGGCATGCGGGGGAGCGGGTAAGCCGACGTTGTTGGTCTGTGGTCGCTGTAAGGCGACGAAGTACTGCTCTGCCGCGTGTCAGAGAGCAGACTGGAAGGAGCACAAGCAGGTGTGCCACGCGGGGTTGAAGTGAACTCCAGAGTACGTCAGACAGCGGCCTGGGTCGCGTAGAATATGTTTGTACCCCTTTATATAGGATAGCTTGTTTGGTAGGGTATGCAGTGACCAATGAAAGGATCGTCAGCGAGAGACTGAGGAGATGGAATCCCACGCGTACAATTAACTGTGCAATGGGTTGGTCGCCGCACGCGCCAATTCATATCCGCCGGAGCGGGGCAAACATGAGGCCGTCATCGCATGACGGCTACCATTCGCAGGCGGATACACTGCAAGGGGTTGAGTCGGGGCCTCCGGATGCGGACGAATGGGCTGGGAGAATGGACGCGTGCACGACGTCCCTTAGGTCATCCGGGCCTGACCGGTTTCGTCCAGGATAGCGCCGGGCATGGTGGTTGCTGGAGACGGAGGAGATAAGTAGGATATCTGTGACGAAGGCGGATGTCAAGATGCATAAAGGTCGGGAGCGATAGATTGATTGAATGCGGACTGCAGCGAAGTGGTCGGCAGCTGGCTGTTATGTTGTCATCTGCACTTCCGGAGCGACCGATGGGTACAAAACACTCCGAGGAAGACGATGGCTGGGCGGTCTGAATCCGAGTCGATGTACCTCAGCAAGAATGAAGCACTGGCCGGACTGCAAGATATCAATATCTGGCAGGCAGGCCAGCACTGCCTGCAGCGTGCTAAGAGGATACGACCCCGAAGAGCCATAAGGATCTTATCAGGAAGGGAGCGACGAGGGAAAGTGACGTACAAAGGGAACTAGCGGTTGATGGCTATTGGCGCCGAGTCGCGTCGTGACAGCGAAGAACGCTAGCACGGCCTACTCAACTCGAAGTAGCATCTACTCCGAGTAAACTTGAAGCGACATCGATGGCTGCGGCGTGGCTGCAGGGGCGGTAGGAGTGGCAACGCAAATGTGGCACGCAACGGGACTTGGTTCATCATGGCTTCAGGAAGAGGGCTAGGATGAGGGGTGGGGAAGCATACAATGCAGGCAGTAGTTGACGATAAAGATGGCCAGTAGAGCAACAGCCCACTGTCGCCGATCAGCGCAAGGACTCAGAGAGAAACAGGTTTCAAGTCTAGTATTACAACACCGAGATGTACAAAATAATACAGAAGCCTGTCGAGCTGGTGGCATAATGATCACAATAATTTAACAGAGGAATAAGAGATACAAGGGGAGCTGCCTGCCCTCGGTCTTCCACCAGGTTGCAACCGATAGCCCGGAGGATGGCCTGGACCTGGGCGTCCTCATCATACCCACTGATGTCTTCTCCGGGATAGTAGCCATGAAAATACCTCATGTGTTGATCAGCTGGCAGGTTGTGAACAGTGAAACGGTCAAGGAGGGGTTGAAGCTTGACACACAGGTCAAAACCAGACGGGTATGAAGAGCATGCCAGAGAAGACCTACGTCTTGAGGTGACAATTCATTGTTGGCGAAAGGGACTATGAGCAATGGCACGTGCAGGTCAACTGCTTGCATCGAGTTCAACATCTAAAACCAAAGGTTAGTCACAACTAGAAGAACAACACTGCAATGCCTGACCTTCGCAACTACACCGTGGTTCTTACGTGACTCTTGAGTCAGAGTGGTGACCATATCTTCAACTGCCTGTACCCTCAGCGCAACTGCCTGAATGTTCTGCTGGACTGCCTGAATGTTCTGCGTAAGCTGCTGTACTGCAACCATAGTTTGCTGTGCAGCCGCAGCCGCCGCAGTCGCCTCAGCCCGAGAAAGTTGAATTTGCTGCAGCAGGTCACCTTGGCCCTGCTGAAGTGCCTGAATAGCCTGGGGTAGCATGTTGTCTTGCTGAGGCTGCGGGGCTAGCGGGAGAGGTCAGATATGAACGGCGGCCACAATGATGACTTACCGGCGGGGTGAGCCACTGCTTCACATAGATTGTGTTCTAGAAGAACCAGCCTCCCAAGCACTTCGTTGGGATGGATTTCTATACGTGCGGGAGAATCGGCGGGGTGGCATACTGAAAAGACATGTCTGAGACTGACTGGTCTGACGGAAAAGATCATGTTGCAATCTATATACGTTCGACAGATCCTTTAGCGACGGGGGATCCGAGATAGGCCTTGGAGGCTGGACGCCGAGTAGTTCGTCGGGTGCGGGCCAATTGAAAGGCATGGTCAGGACGAACGTAGATACGGCCAGACGAGCTGCGAGACGGCGAACGGGCGCGTCGGTGTCACGTGACTCGTGCAAGTACCCACGCCATCCTGTGGCATTAGGATCGCCTACCTGTGTGCGCACTTCTGCCGGATTCATTGCATCAAGGATGGCCAGTCTCGTTGGCCTCCCGACCGAGCTGCTCGTCAGGTGCCTGTATTTCTTGGAGTATATCGACCTCCTGGCGTGCCGGGCCGTAAACCGCCTGCTCAACACGGTCATCAACGAGTCGAGTCTCCTCCAGTACACTATTGAACTCGCCGCGGCGCACGCGGAGGACAACCCGTACTGCGACCTTCCAGCGTCCGAGAAGCTGCGCCAGCTGAAGGCGCGACAGAACGGGTGGCTCTACTTCAACGTGGCAGAGACCATCGCCGTGGACGTCAAGCATCGCCCTTCCGGCATATACGACTTCACCGGTGGCGTCTATCTGCTCGGGGAAGCGCCGCATTTTGGTGGCCCGAGACCGACGAAGGGCCTGCAGTACATCCGCCTGCCGTCCTTGGGGGAGGCCAGAGCCATCAGAGGGGAGCTCCCGTGGCATGGGATCGACGTGAAGGAAGATATAGTGGACGTGGGGCTGGCCGTACAGGAGCATGATTTGATTGCCGTAGTGACCCAGTGAGTCACACTTGTCTCTTATTCATTTGGGTCGCGATGGAGAGTGTCGCATACTAACATGTCAAGGCAGACGCCTTGTTACCAGTGCCGCGATCATTGGCCCCAATAGTAGGACCTTCATCTCGTTCCAGATCCTGCAATTCTCGACAGGCAAACCCCATCCGCTCGCTGCCCAACCCGTCATTCCCGTGGTGGAAGCGACCACGCTCTTCGGGCACATCAGCGTCGGCATCGAGATCGTCGGTGACCTCCTAGTCCTGCTCTTGACGTTCCCCTTCGCTCTCGATGCGGAAGACCGCCTGTATGTCTTCGACTGGAAGACGGGGGACGTGAAACTGGTGAGTGGCCACAGCAGCCCATTCGCATCTCTCATTAAGACTGCCCCAGACGCACACTGCTCGCGGCATGACCTACACTTCCTTCACATTCCTCTCGCCCACGACCATCGTCCTCCCCAACCTCCAAGCCGCCACCCTCGAGCTCTGCGACCTGACCGACCCCGATCCCGGCCCGCCACCCCGCCTCAAGATCCACACCCGCCTGGGCCTCCCGCGGCTGTACTCCACCTGCCGCATCATGCGCGTCGGGTGCCGCGGCGAGCCCAACCCCGCGCCCTCCCCCCGGGGCCCGCGCTACCCGCGCGACCCCGCGCCCTTCCACGACGCGCCCGCCGACGCGATCATCGTCTTCAACCTGCTCATCCAGGAACAGCCCCTCCTCCAACAACTCACCTCCGTCTCCTTCGTCGTGCACCGCAGCAGCCTGCTCGCGCGGCTCGCGGCGGGCGCGCAGGTGCCGTGGGCGCGCTGGGGCCCGCGCGCGACGCGCTGGTTCGACTCGGACGACGTGCCGACGCGCTGGATCACGACGACGTGCGGGCAGCGGTACGTGACGACCGCGGACGAGCTCCCGTCGCGCGTGACGGTGATGGACTTTGGGAGGCACGCGGTGGGCCGCGCGCTCGCGCGCGTCGGCGGGTGGAAGGGCGTCGTGGTGCAGCACGCGGGGCGCCGGCGCGAGCTGCCGGTGACGCTGTGGAGCTACGTGAGCGTGGACGGGTTCAGCGCGGAGGAGGAGATGCATATGCCCGGCGGGCTGGGGCTCCCGCTCGAGGAGGAGGAGAATTGGAGCCAGGAGGAGAGGGAGAGGCGGTGGCAGGCGGTGCCGGTCGAGCTGGAGGACGGGAAGCGCGTGTGGGTGCATGTGCTGCCGTCGACGCTGCCGGACCAGCTGAACGTGTTTGAGGAGGAGGTCACGTCCGAGCTGCCGTATGTGGAGACAATTTCGGATCTTGAGTTTGAGTACGACGCCGTCCTCATGGACGAGGAGAGGATTATAGGAATGAAGGTCAGTTGTTGAAGTGCACATCCTGCAGAAAAGCACACATTTGACTGATTTCCCCTCAGATGGACGACGTCAATGATAGGGTGGATCAGATCGACATACTCTACATGTCGAAGGAAGAACAAGCACGTCCGACGTACCGTCTCACCGAAGTGGACTATTGGAATAGCTTAGGGATGGATGATGACATTTAGCTTGCTAGTCATAGAGTCCCAAGCAAATCATCATTGTACGACTGTATATCTTATACATCTGTGCTCCGCCTATCGCTTTGTCGTTCCAGCAGCAGCAGTGCTTTGAACATTATTGTGCGAGGCCTCCGCACCCCTGCACAACGCTGTGCACACATCTCAATTAGTTCAGAGCTACTATAAGTTCACAGGACCGCGGCAGACTCGTGAAAGATAACGTATGGCTGAAATCGAAGGCATATGAAGACGACCACGAGATGAAGACTTACGTATAGTACCGGAACGTCACTGCCAGTCGGTTGTTCAGTTCACCGTTGCAGCGGCCGGCGCCTTACAGCCTTTTAGTCTTTGAGTTCACCAAAGGCATACATAAGCACATGGACGGAAACTTTCGAGCCATGAGAGGAGAGGGGTGTTACTCGATGATTTAGCTAGGGCAACTCCATGAGAGCCCAACAAGCATATCGAGTCCAACGACAACTGCGAGTCGAGTCGAGTCGCAGCCAATCCAACTCACCATCGGCAACTCCCGAACCCAATCCGAGTCCAGCTCCGAATCTCGATCCACCGCTCACCTCCATAACCCCCAAGCATGTCGACCTACGGCGCGCGGCACGCGCCCTCGGCCTTCAGCACGCCCGCGTCCATCGCGCTCTTCCGGCGCCTGACCTGGGAGGGCACCGTCCCGCTCGAGGTGCGCGTCGACCCGAAGGAGCTCCCCGCCAACTCCAACCGCGGGCTCGAGTGCTACTTCCTCCAGGCGCCGCGCGTGAGCTACCTCCCGCTGCTCATCCCCGAGATCCGGAGCTATCTGCTGGACGTGGTGTTCGACGAGGCGGGCGGGCGGGTGGTGAAGGAGGAGGAGTGGTGGTTCGAGCGCGAGGACGGGGGGCTCGTCAAGTGGTGCGTGCGCGGTGCTCCCGCGATACTCGGCGATGGAGATGTCGGCTTACGGCGGACAGGCACTGGCCGATCGGCCTCATCTACGACACGCACGCCGTCTCGCTCTCCGCGTCCGCGTCTGCGCCCTCGTCGTCGTCGTCCGCGCCGGTGCCGCTCAAGCTCACGCTGCACCTCGCGTCGCCGCCGACGGACAAGCTCCTCCTGCAGCCGTCCGCCGAGGCGTGCAAGCAGGCGTTCATGGGCCAGCTCAAGGAGGCCGATTTCATCCGCTGGGGGAACACGAAGCGCATGACCGGGCTGCGCAAGCAGGACCAGGACGGGTTATGGGACGGGATCAAGGAGCGTGAGTAGCGCTCGCTCTCTGGTTGATGACATTTGTGCTCTTGTCGTTCTTGCCCTTTCGTTCATACACATGCGCTCCCCACCCGACCGTCCTCGTCGTTCATGCACCCCCCTTGCCTCTCATCCACCCGCACCCCAACCCCTTCCTGTGATCCATCCATCCCCACTCTAACTAACACCCCCCCCCGCTCCCCAGACGACTTCGACGCCTACTGGCGCATCGCGTCCAAAATCACGCCGACGCCCGCGCCGCTGAGCGGCGGCCGCTCGCCCTCGCCCTCGCCGGTCCCGCCCTCCTCCGCGTCGATGGTGCACACGCGCCCGCCGTCCGCCGAGCCGGGCGCCGCCGCCGGGTGAGTGCCGCTCTTCCTAACCCTCCCCTCTCCCACGAATCCACCCATACTAACCCCGCCCCCCGCCCAGGGACCGCGACGCCGCGTCCGCGGTGCGCTCCGTCCCCGCGCGCATCTACCTCCCCGACGGGCCCGTGCTGCAGGACCTCGTCCCGCCCGGCGCGGTGCGCACGCTGGGCGACTTTCTGCGCGCGCACCTGCCGCTGCTGTTCCCGCTGGGTGAGTTTTGTTTTTTTTGGGGGGGGCGGGGTTGGTTTTTTTGGGAGGGGGTTGGTTGGGGCGCCGGCGTGGGTGCGGCCGCCCGTTCGTTCTGTTCATTCGTTCATACCCCACCCCCACGCATCCCCCCTTCCCCTCCATCCCCCCTCCATCCA